AATGCACACATCCCGTGTTGTCTTTGAATAAAGTAACTGCACAATATGGGTTGAACTAATCAAATCGTATGCCTCAGTTATTTATTGACGACAGGGATATCTGCCTACTGTTATATGACTGTACACACTATAACCCATACAAGCGATTGTGCGGGACTGTTAAGAAACACGTACGCTTTTCGGTAATTCTGAATCCTATTTATATCACAATGCTGTTCGAGATGCTACCAACCAAGTCTATTCATAATGCTTAAAAATGTATTATTATATAGGTTATTATAATACATGCACTTTTTTATTAATAGGTAAATAATTTATAATACAATATACAATATAAGTTTATAATAATATATTTAAATTTTAACCAAGTACCTATGGTGACAATAAAATTTAATATATTATTTTCAACAATAGGTTGGTTGTCTTTTTAATTTTTAGTACCATTCAATTATTATAGTAATTTTTATAAAAGTAAACATCTAAAGACATGAACTATTACCTCACGAATTTCTTGATTCATAACTTTCGGATAGTGAGACATCCCTTAAATACAAATGTTATTAATTAATATATATTTTATGTTTGATTTTAGAATGTAATAATAGATGATTGAAAATACAAATAAATATATGCAATATTGCATCTATTTTGAATATGATTAATCTACTAATTTTTATTTTCATTTTTAATATTTTAATATTTTTAGTTGTTTTTAAGTTGTAGGCTAAATTACTACTTATTTTATTACATAAAGAGAAACAATACAATTTATTATTTATTGTTACTATATTTTTATATTCCATGATTTGGAGAAAAACAACACTTAATTATTTTTAATATTGATTATAATTTTGGATAACGGCGAGACGGAATATATTCATTTTAATTCTAATAATATTCTAATGTTTTTGATAATTACTAAAATATCGATATTTAAGTTCTGAAGGAAACAATTTTAATTGCATTTATGATTTCATTCGATTCATTATTTATATGTATTTTAGATTTTGAGCAGAGCGATGAATTATTGATTTTAAAATGATGCGTGTGTGGTGTTTTTGTTTATATTTGTATACACTGAAAAGTCGATAAAATATTCTGATTATAAACTTTAAATATGGTTTTAGATAGAAAATTGGATTTAACTTATACTTTAAAAAGATAATATTGAAAATTCTCAGTATTTTAAAAAAACGATTAAAAAAAAAAACAAACAATACGACAAAAGTTAAAAGTTTGCTGTTGAATTGTTTACGAACTTTTGTAAATTAATTTGGTAAACACATATTTTATTATACGGATGGAAACATTTTATTTTATAGAATTTGTGATGTTAAGGTAGACTTAGAAAAACTGAACATTTTCATTGTTGCCTTTGGCATCAATATATTTTTATTTTTATGTCATAAATGTATTTTTTAAAGGAATTTTCATAGTATTCTTTAAGTTATCAATAACATACGAGTTTAAATATGTATGTAATATATATATGCTCCAACGCTTGCCTATATACAATTTATATATTATGTTATATTATATATATATATAAATAATAATTGTATGTATTTAACCGTATTTTATGCTAGCGTCAGTTCATATGTATATTTTATAGGTACCTATACAAACTAAAGTATAATATAATATAAATATGTAAAGAATACATGTAGCTTGATACAAGCAATATAAAATGTAATGTTACACGATGTCAAATCAATTATCATTAATGCGGTTTTGTTGATGTAAAAGTTTATTAACTCATTTTTTTAATAGTATATAAAATTGTTATTGGTAATAGAATTGTTTTCCGTATAAGTAGGTAAGTAAGATACATGACATGTTACACGACATGAAAATTTTTGTATTAGCTGTGTTACAACGTTAAGCTATATATGGTTATTTAGTTCTATTATCTATTGTATAATTTGTTTGTCTTATCATTGAACTTATATATTGTTCTAGAATAGTGGTGTCCAACCTTTTAAATGAAATAAATAGCAAGATAATATTTATTTATTGTTTTGTAATATTACAAATTACAATACTTATAAATACTCGTAAGTCTAGTAAAACGATGGCAAATGATTATAAACGTAAACGTATGTATTATGTACGTATAAGCCAGTATATACATATCTATCGTATTTAAAACATTGGTAACAGCTATGAATATCGGTCATATTTTATTAAATTAATTTTAATATCTGGAGAAAAACGAAAACTTATCTTATTTTTTGGAAGAAAGCTGTACTATATTTTTGGTGAAAATGGTCCCACCTCGTTCCATTTGACCTTCAAGGTTTATCTCATATAATACGGACTTGCTGCAGATGTAATTTAGCGAATTGCTTATGTAATATTAAAATTAACCATGTCACTGCTAAAATTGTAACGAGTGAAAATAGTGAAGAAATTAATGTAAGATTTTGTATGCAAAAAAAAAAAAAAAAATCTCAGTTATTGAAGTATAATAAGTAGTATGTAATATTTTTATCATATATATTTATGAGGTGGTTATGAATTTTACGTGACATTCAATAAAAAAAAAAAAATGATTTGTGGCGGTATACCTATTGCAGTTAGGTGGAAAGCGTGACAAAAATACGGACAATAGAATAACAATTTAAATTTTAAATTGCATAGGAAAATAAAATTGTATACATTAAATAGGCCGATGAGTTTCCCTTAAAAATTTATTTGATGATAAAAAAAAAAAAAAAATGGTAGCAATAAAAATAAAATATTAAATAAAAGAATATACGAACTCTATTTATGCGATTCGACAATTTCAATTATGGCAATTATGGATAGAGATTGATGTCTGGATCTAAATGCAATTCGTAACGAACGCTACAAAATAATTATAATTTTCTTCCTAAATCGTTTACCTCTGTTTGGATCTTGTTAATATTTTATGATTGAGACGTGTTCGATGATCAGAAATTTATGAGATACAACGATAAACAAAGATCGTCGTCCAATGTACTCACATTCAGAAGATACCTAAAATATTTATGAAATAATAATAATTTATCAATCAAGTTTAACAATACGTAACTGAGGTACATAATGTTGTATTATATCAGAATATACGTATAAACAGTGTTTTATTGAAAAATCTTATTGTTTACGTTTGTGTAAGGTACTTATTAAATATATTAAAATAATAAAATCAAAAACGTAAATTCAAAGACCGCTGTTTAGTATTTTGATATAGCTCGTGCGATATTAGTTAATTCTTGGATTTGAACATGAATTAAGACTTACAATATAATTATGTGTTTTTTTTTTGTTCACGGGTGTTTAAATTGAAAAATCTATAGATTTAATTCATGAGTATTTTAATTAATTGATAATATTAAGGGCTATTTATTTCGCGTGTATTTAAAAATAATAGTTATTAAACGTTTTTAAGTAATTGTATAACAAGATTTAAAAAAAAAACTAAAAATATATGTTTCATAAGCTGTATCATCGTAAAAAAACAGGACAGGCGAGTTAAAGCAAATGTTTCGGGTTCAAAATAAATAACTGATGACCGATCAACGCTGTGTGGAAACTAGAAACTATTGGAGTATATTAAATGCATTGAAAATAAAATTCCACGTGTAATACGCGTGTGTTAATAAAAAAAAATTGCACATGAAATAAAATCCCTGACTAACGTCAATTTCAATTTCACGTGAAATAGAGATCTCAAGATATTACGTACATACTACGTCGGACATTTTTACACTCCGTATCGTATTTGGTCCTTTTTTTTACAGATAGTTAAGTACCTATTTATAAAATAATTATGAATCAAAATTGCGCAGTTAAGTTTACGATGTCAATATAATTATTTATAAAACCGAAATACCGAATATCAATTTATTTAGATGTGTTTATGTGTGCGCAGGTAAATTAATAATTAGCGTATAAAGTGATGTTATGTTGATAACTATGAAAACAGTGATACAGATATATAATAGTAATAGAAAAAGGGGGTTGTAAAGTAATTCTTCGGTGAATATAATTAAAGAAGAGAGTTAATAATAAGTATGAATAATAAGTAAAATCGGTGAGTGATTTCGATGTTTCGATGTTTTAGAATTGTTAGTTTTTTCATAATGGAGGAGTCGGATAAAACGGAAACAACACACTGCAACAGACACAAAATATTCATCTCTGTTTTAACATATTAATAATTATTTATTTTAACAGCAGCTTACTTATAATCATACCGAACGACAAAAAAATGCATTTACATCAACATACAATATTCATCGTTATAATAATATAATCTTACACAGGGTGACTCTTATATTTATCACTATAAATATATAGTGATTTTATTGGTAAATAGGTTTTTTTTCTATATAGTTTAAAGTCATTAAGATATTTTACATACCTATGGTGTTTTAACGATAACGAATAAAACTATACCACTTTTTATTGTTATCATTTTGAGTTGCAACTTTTTAAAATTACGAATATATATTTTTAATTTCACAATTTGAAACAGAATATTTTCTTGAAAATGTAAAATCGTAAAATATAAAGATGAAGTTTTTTTTTTTTTTTAAATATTTTATTGTAATGATTTTTAACTAGGTATATTAAAAAAAAAAATAAAAAAAATATTTAAAAACACATAAATTCATCGATGACTGTTTAATGATAAAAGAATACATGGCCTATGTCGCACATAATATACATAATATACTATAGGAATGGTACGTATTTCACTAGTGGGTGAACGGGTAAGGGGAACAGAGACCATCGCATATATACCTAATATCTCAGTGGCGAGGTGCAAGTGGAATTGGATCGTCGGGGGTGGAGAACATGGTCGCGAATTTCGCTCAAAAAGCGCTTCGGGGTTGACGGTCGGGGGGTGAAGGAGGCGCTGCCGTCCTGAGCATGCGCGACGGCGGTCGGGACGGCGTTTTCGTCCGTTTTTGAAACCGCCGGCAGACGCCGTAGTCACCATCGCCGCCGACGCGTTCAGTAGCCCTCGTGGATCCGACCCTGTCCGGTAGCCCGCCACTGCATCGGTTTCTCACCGCGGTCCCGTAATTATATCTCCGTCGTCGAAACTTACATCGCATAAACTTACGCACTGAACTTCACGCTAAGTCGTGCGTGTCTTGCGATTGAGTAAAAAAACATCCGTAGACTTTTTCTTTTTTTTTCCTTTTTTTATTTTTCGGCGTTTACCTCTCGCCGATATTTTTTTTCGTCGCCCGTCGACTCTTTGTCGTCGATCGCCGCAGATAAACGGACGAAAATCATCATTTTCATTACCGACCCTCTCTAACTATTTTTCATAGCAACAACAACAATAATTAGAGGACGCTTTCGGTCGTCGGTCGTTTTCCGTACGAACGAAACTCATTTTTATTTCATCCTCCCGGTCTTTCGATCCCCGTCACCCCGAAAACCATTCGAATCTCGATTGAGATCAACCGTACCTGCACACCGCGGTCATGAACATGCTGTACCCGAACTTGCTGTTTTGGATGTACGTGGTGTTGACGCTGGCCGAACCGCCGTACATCATTCCGTTCAAAGGTCAGTAATAGCATAATATTATTAAGTCCTTAGGTACGCGCTGACATTGAGATATTTCATGTATTTTAATCAACCGTTGCGTACCTACCACTTGTTTCTGTCACAATAATGATTATTATAAGATAAGTAATAAGCTACGTATATTATGGGTATTATACGACGTTAAACTTATCCCGCAAACATTGTATTTATTATTTAGTGATTACATCACATTATATTAATATGATGTACCTATAATAATAAAACCCAATGATACGTAATAATGGTTTTAATAATAATAATAGTAAAATAAAAAATAAGTAATAATACTAATAAATTAGTTTTTTTTTATTATTATTATTATTATTTAATATTTGCAGTACGGCGACGGATAAATGTATACCCTCGTAGTCCTCCCGTAATGAAAATTATTCATTCGGTTATATTACTATCAATATATTTTAAAATGCAAAATATTTATATATTCTATATTTATTTATATATCTTGACAAAAATTATTACAGTTTTATCTAATATGTTTATTTGTAAATTTGTTCGATTAATATTGCTACTATAAAAATAATAAAAAAATAACAATAATAATAATAATAATAATAAACGATTAGGTAAGACTCCCAGTTTCACGAAAATATTTAATAATTTTCAACAAAATAATTATTTGATTATATTAATTAAAAAAACAATTCTTTGTGAATAAATATTTATCTCACTCGGAAACGTCTTAAACTTACAGTTCCTAGATGTACATTAAAAACGCGTTATGGTGTTTATAAAACTTAATAAACTTGATGGACAGTTCTTTTCTCTGTTAATGTTATATTTTATCATTTTGATATATAAATATATTGTTGACTTAGGCTCAAGGAAGAATATTACCTCCTTGGAACAATAATTGATTAAATGTAACATTTTGATGAAAAAGTTTTTTTTTAAATTTACGTTTGTCTGAATAATTTAGCTCAGTCATGTGATGTTAAAAATAATTTATATTATTAAAATATAATAAGTATATTTTTATAAGTATAATTTATATTCTTTACATTCTTGCGTTAGAACATTGTGAAGTTAAATAAGTTTTTTGGTCGTTATTTGAACTATCTTAACAAAAATAAGTAAGAATTTAATTAAACCTGGTTCCGACTACACTAATGTTCTTGATTTTTTTTTATCATTTTTATTCAATGGCTTATTAATTTGTCACGAATTATTAATTTGCAACTAAAAAAAAATATAATTATAAAAATGTTATAATTTATTGTTAAAAACTTTTTATTAGTTAACCCCAGGACACTAAAACAAAGAAAACCAAATGGTGCATAAGTATATATATTGCCAAGTTAATTTTTTTTTTTTTTGATAGTTCAATATTTGTTGCATTTTTACATGAACCATTATAATAATCACACACGGCTATATAGCTAGTAACTTGCATGTAAATATTTAAAATTTAACACTCAAAAACGAAAAAAAAAAAAATTATTGAAGTTTAGATTGTTAAGATAAAATAAATTTATGTTTTGTTTCTTGAAAATATTGTAAAATTGTGACGACAGTTTTGAATCGTTTATTTAAATATTTTTTTACATTATTAATCGTAAAAAATAAAAATTCAATCAACTTATAAATACTTAATTATACTTATATCATTATCTAAATTGTTTGCTGTTATATTCAATGTCATAAAATATAGATTATCGTAAATCTTATTAAATATTTAAATTCACACACAGCGTATACGAATTAAAAATTATTAAATGATTTAAATATTTCATTGAGATGATTAAATATTTAAAATTATAAAAATCTACAATTCATATAATAAGCATAAATTAGTGAAAAATTGTTTTAATTGAAACATAAACTTTTTGATAAAATACAAAATATATTAATGATATGTTTTGTTCACATATTTTTATATTTGATTTTTGACATGTTCAATAGTTATATAATTAATTTTACTTATTTCTGTCAATAAATACATCAATTTACGATTAAAAATGTTGTAAAATATACATGAGCTATACGTTTATCAATTATATAACTAAAATAATTATGTACCTAATAATATATTCATTATCTATAATAACCACAAATAAAAATGATTCGAAAAAAGCATTATTAAATTTATTTTTACAATGAATTTTTAAATTCCATAATGTTATTTTAAAAATTTGCATTGTTTCCAATTTTTGAATTCAAGTGATCAGGAATTTTAGTATTTATATATTTTTCAATATTTAATTAATTATGCAGCGAATTTTAGGAATGATTAAATACTATTTTTATTTTTTCATTTAAACTTCCATTGAATATTAAAATTCTACGATTTCGTAGTTTTTGACGCCATATTATTTTTTTGTCAACTTATTTAGCAGCGTCATTTACGCAGTTTATTTTTATACTTATAAAATATTACAATTCTTAGAATATTAAATTTCTTACGACTTACATAAAATAACATATATTTTGAAATGTAATAACAGCATTCATATATTTCTTTATTTTATAGGCTCAATTTGTATGAAACAAAATTATAAATTTTTGTAACTGAATAACTTTAAATACTCATCGATTTGTACACATTAATTCAAATACTTATGAAGTTTTATTTGTTATAAATATTTTTTAAAATAAACTCTAAAAAATATTTATTTTTCAGTTAATTATACATTTGTGTAAAAAAAAAAATTATTTCTTAAAAATAATTTATAAATTATGCAATACGATCTGTTGTTTTTTTTTTTAATACGATCGTCAATATAATACTTTTTATATAATAATAAGAATATTTATTTTGACTTACTTGACTTAGTAATAGCTAATAAACAATAATCTATATCTATTCTATTTGTTTTCTGCGTATTTTCAATTATTTTTAGTATCCGTTTCTTTTTATCGTATTTCACCTAGTGTTTTATCTCATATTAATTTTATTCAGCTTGAATACAAAATTATGATTGATGACGCAACTAAACAAATTTGTTCTTAACACTTTTCTGTGTAGCTGTATTATTATTGTTATTATTGTTATTATTTTTTTTACGTAAAATGTCACAACCATGTAGTAAAGGTTACTTTTTTGTGTATCCGGGTACCTTTTATATGTGTCCCTACATGAAAACTACCTTTCTGTGTGAAAAATGTATTTGTTATCCCAATATATATACAATTTTTATTATTATTATTAAAAATTATGTTATCCTAAATGTTTTATTGCATGTGCTGTAATAATTAGTTAGGCCTAAATTCGGCTGCAATGCCATTACAGGAACATCTCCGAATTAATATTTTGTTTTTGCAATCGTGTCAAATAATGTTTGAAATCATTGATTAAAAACGTAACGTACCTTTTTATGTATTATCACGAATGAAATACAATACTGTAGACAGTAAAGAGAAGTGAATTCGATGAATATTAATGAAGGTTCGTTATTTATCGGACGATTTCATACTTCGATTTAGATATTATTGATATAGTTAATGAATCATATATTGTAGGTACAAACTGATATACTAAAATTACCGGAAAGAGGAAACATGAGCGTGAACTTAAGATCATGTATCACGTTCGGCACACTATAAAAAAAATTCAACAGCACCTACCTATAAACGTGTATTGTTTTTTTTTGATCTTTAAAAAAACAAAAAATAAACATACGCGTTCAATTAATTCAACCAATACTTGTATATGCAGTCGGTATATTATTAATTATGGTATAATCAATATTGCGGTGTAAGCAAATCGCACCTATATTTTAGAAATTTTTATTTATAAATTGAAAATGAAGTCTCCCAAAATAAATGTAACGTTAAATAATGTTAAATTGTTTTAACGTAACTTAGTAATTTTAATTTACATTGATTTGAAATAATCTCAGTTAAGGAAGATATCTTTTGATGTTACAGTGTGGAAAAATATTGTGATAATCATAGTTTGTGTATTAATAGAACGAATTTCATTATTTATTTTCATTATTTAAAAGCCTGTGGCGTATTTTAGAATCACATAATATTATTTTCTCGAACATATTTACTTGTATTTATTCTTGTAGTGACATTTATTGGTATCCTTGTGTACTCATATGATAATATTACAGCCTGCTACCTCAGTTGAAGAGTTATTTCTTTGTCCCTGGAAGATTTATGAATATCAAAACATTTTTCCTTTCCTAACGTATTACAATACAGTATTGTCAATATTAGGCTTTGAGATACGCTGTTTACCATTTACTGTTAGAACATTTAGACATCATAAATGTTGTATATTACGTTTGTAATATCTGTCGCTATACCTTAGATTTATAATAAATAAATACTCTAATACCTTTCCGCTTTCTGTATTGGTTCATTAATTTCTCCAAATATTTTCAAGAATAAGTTATCTTGTTCGTTGTAGAATTAATTATTGATAGACGATAATTACAAATTATATTCAAATTATATTAAAATTAATCCGTGATTTACATTGTATTATGTTAAATATATTATATATATATAATTTAGTTTATATTTGTGCCACCTTTTTCATTAGTAAAAGAGTATGCAATTTAAAAAATACAGACTCTAAATATTTTGTATTTTAATAATAATAATAATAATAATAATAAAATATTTAACTATTACAAGAGGAAGTCGACATTATTCATATTTCATGCATACAAGCGAAGCGTTGTGGAGAAAATATGGGACGTACTAATATTATGGTATTGAGGTATAATCATTAATCATTTGTGTAATAGGTATTAATATAATATCGACGTCAATGTCGGGATGTTCGGTTTTGGTTAGGTTATATAGATAAAATATTTAATGATATTTATTTAGATGAAACACGATAAATTGTCCACACGGACCTATAAAAGAATAATAATAATATAATAATGTTCAAAAATGTCATTGCAGTTAGTGTGGAAATTAGGGCTGATTTTTTGAAAAATAGAAATAGTAAATGTATACTTATGACGACTAATAACGGTAGTTTTCGTGCATTTTTGGACGAA